GGACAAATGTGTAATGACATACATCCATTATTATAGTATCAAATGGAGTATTTTCACCAGCTTCAAAATCTTCATTGCTTGCCTATTCAGCTCTCCCACCCACAATCCCTGGCATCCACCAATCTTTTTACTGTCCATATGGTTTTTCCATTTCTAGGAAGTCACATAGTTGAAATCATACAATATGTAGCCTTTTCCAATTGGCTTCTTTCACTTAGTAATAGGCATTCAAAAAAAAATACAGGCATTCAAATTTCTTCCATGTCTTTTCATACCCTGATGGCTCATTTGTTTTTAGGATAGAATATTATTCTATTGTCCAGCTGTACCACAGTTTATTTACCCATTACCTAATGAAGAACATCTTGGTTGCTTCCAAGATTTGGATATGATGGATAAAGCTGCTCTAAACATCTATATATTGTTTTTTGTGTGGACATAAGTTTTCAACTCCTTCGGGTAAATACCAAGGAGTGCAACTGCTGGGTTATATTGTGCATGAGTGTTTAGCTTTTTAAGATGACAAACTGTCTTCCACAGATTCCCTACCATCTTGCATTCCCATCAGCAGTGAATAAGATGTGCTACAGATCCACAACCTCACCAGGGTTTGGTGATGTCAGTGTCCTGAATTTGGGGTGTTCTAATATGTTTGTTTCCATTTGCCTAATGACATATAATGTGGAGCATTTTTTGATATGCTAATTTGCTCTCTGTGTATTTTCTTTGGTGAGATGTCTGTTAATGACTTTTGGCTACATTTAGTCAGGTATTTTTGTTTCACTGTTGAGATTTAAGTGTTTTGTGTATATTGAAGGTAATAGTCCTTTATCAGATGTGCCTTTTCAAAATATTTTCTCCAAGTAAGTGTCTTCTCTGTCATTCTTTTGGTATTATCATTTCTCTAACAAGTTTTTAAATTCAGTTATACTTTTCAACTTCATGTTTCCCATTCTTATTTTTTTTAGTAAGTTCTCTCTTATTATTTTCTATTATATGAGACATTTGCATATCTTCCTTTAAAATTTTAACAATGATTTTTTGTTCTTATAAGAGTTATAATGTCTAATATTATATCTATAATATCTAATATCTGTGCTCAGATATTGAAAAATAGTATTCATTTGATTTGTACTTTTATTCTCCTTTAGAATGGAACAATTTTCAGCATTTCTTTTCTTTCATGATCTTATGACTTTTGAAGAACATATGTCATTAATTTTATAGTAATTTTAAAATATAAAATGTGTCCATTTTATATTTTTCTGATATTGCCTCATGACTAGTTCCATGTCATGTATGCTTAGCAGGAGCACAACAAGCATCAGTGATGCTATGTTCTTCCCAAGGTGTTATTTTAAATGGCACAAGATATCAATTTTTCCATTTATGGGTGATGCTAAGTTCATCACTTCACTAGGTGATGTCTATTAGGTTTCTCCCTTATAAAGTTCTTTTATCCTTTGTGACTAACCAGTAACTTGAGGTTATGTAAATATTCTGTTCTTCATCAAAATTTCACCCACTGTTTTTAGCATCTATTAATTTGAGATTATGTACATATTCTGAGATTATGTAAATACTCTATTCTTTTTTTAATAATTACTCAATTTCATTTCTAGTGATCGGTTTGTTCTAGTGGTCAATTTCTTCTTGATTCAGTCTTTGTGGACTGTATATTTACAGAAACTTGTCCATTTCTTCAAGGTTATTCATTTATTTTCCATAAAGTTGTTTACAGTATTCTCATATGATATTTTGAATTTCGGTAGTATTGGTTGTAATTTCTCCATTTTCCTTTCTTATTTTGATTATTTGTGCTCTGTCTTTTCTCTTCTTTGTGACTAGGCCTGAGGTTTGTCAGTTTTATTTACTCTTTCAAAATACCATCTCTTCGTTTGATTGACTTTTTCTGTTTTTTTTTAAATATCTATTTTATTTATTTTCTCCCTCATATTTATTGTTTTCTTCCTTCTGCTGGCTTTAGGTTTTGTTTGCTCTTCTTTTTCTAATTCTTTTAGTTGGTTGATTAGGTTGCTTATTTCAGATTGTTTATCTTTTTTGAGGAAGGCCTTTATTGCAATGAACTTTCTTCTTAGGACTGCTCTTGCTGCATCCCATAGATTTTGTGTGGTTGTGATTTTTGTCATTTGCCTCAAAGTATTTTTTTATTTCTTCTTTGAATTTAACATTGACCCATTGGTTTCTTAGTATCATGTTGTTTAATCATCATGCTGTCAATTTTTTCTGCTGTTTTGCTGTAGTTGATTTCTAGTTTCATGGCATTGTGTTCAGGAAAAAAATTGCTTAAAATAATTACTATCTTCTTAAAGTTGTTGAGTCTTCTTTTGTGCCCAAGTGCATGATCCATCCTAGAAAGTGTTCCATGTACACTGGAAAGAATGTTTATTTTAATTTTGGGGGATGTAATATTCTGAAAATATCAACCAAGTCTAATTGTTCTATTGTAACATTTAGTTGCTGTTTTGCCTTTATCTTTCTGTCAGGAAAACCT